GACTGAACATCTAAGGAGACACCCCCACCCCAGGCTTCGGACATGACTTTAGTTTGGCTGCTGCCTCCGGCGGCCAACCCCGCTGCTTCGGCCTTTTCTCTCGTCTTCTTGGCCAGGCGGCGGCGCCGCTTTGTTACCAGAGAGGATGAAGGGGAAGAAGCTGAGGAGGAAGTGGATGTAATGGAGCTGGGTTTTGCTTTCTTGGATTTCAGTCCTGCAGGACCGGTCAGCGATGATGGCGGTGCGGATAGACCGCTGCGTTTTCCCATACTGACCAGGTCTTTACTCCGCCCACCCAGTGACAGTGGTTCTGAACAAGGTTTCAGAAAAGGTGACCTGCTTTCATTGTCCCTGCAGAACACAACTGCAATTGAGCCACCCACCACAGACCCCCCAGTACTCCCTGCTGCACCACCTGGGCCGAGAAGGTCCATGTTCAGTTTTCCAGAGCCAACCGAAGACCCCGTGGTACTGCTTACGCCTTCGCGCACCAGAACCGACACTTTAGACTGAAGCTTACCTTTCTGACTAGCACCACCTTCTTTCTTGGACTTCCCAGAGCGACTCGTGTCTTTTCTGCTCTCCTTGTCCCGATCTTTGTCTTTTTTGATCTTCCTGGTTCGCTTTGCTGATGGGAAGCCAGGGGAAACAGAGGCAGATCCGGAAGAGACCATCAGTGAAGAGAGGCATTTGCTTTTGGTTGTACTGGCAGAAGCCGAAGCTTCAGAGCGGGCAATTTTCTTTAATGTGCGAGATTTCTTTTTGGGTTCATGTCCAGTCTTGGGCGTAGCTGCAGCTTTAGGGCTGGGGACGGGAGCCTCTGGAGGCAGAGCAGCAGGGGGCGTGTCCTCCAAAGATGGGTAGTCTGAGTCTAAAGCTTCACCATCCAAAGACAACACATCAATCTCCAGTTTGTCTGAATAGCGGTCTGACTCATAGCTGTGATACCTGGGAGGCGAGAGCGACTGCGATCGGCTCTGACAACTGCCTTGTTTCCCTGCCTCTCCAGCTGAATGCCATTTTCTCTTCTTTTTACAGGGCTTGTCGGAGTCCTTTGTGGCCCTTCCAGGAGAGGATGGGGTAAGTCTCGGAGACCCGGGAACGGTGGTGGTCGTAGTGGTGGTTGTGACCGTAATGGTTCGCTTAATAGCGAAGAGGTCAGACCCACTGAGGTCTTGGATGGACGGAGGTATGACGGGACGACCGTCTCGTCTCCTATCCCTGTCACGTTCCCTTTCTCTGTTGCCTTCCCTCTTTTCTCTGCTTCTTTTGGACCGCTCTGAAATGCCTCGCTCTCTGCTCCTTGAATGATGTTTTCCCTTCCTTTCCTTCTCCCTCTTTCTGGAGCTAAAATCTTCATCCCGTCCATCTCGCCTGTGGCTACTGATGCGATTGTGTTCCCTCCCTCTTTCGGTGTCTCTGTCCCGATCTCCAGTCCGGCTCCGGTGTTTATCCCTTTCCCTCTCTTTGTGCCTTTCTTCAGACAGGCTGGAAAGCGACCATCTGGTGTGGCCATCTCTTCTTGAAGAATTGCAGGACCGTGAAGTCTCTGGGCTGCTGTGCCATCTTTTCTTCCTCTTCCGACTGCTGCTCCTGCTGCTCCTTCTGCCTTTATCCTCTTTGCCCATCTTTTGCGCCTTTTTCTTGTTCGACTCCTGAGCCCACTCTTTGCCTTTCCTTCTCTTTTTTCTTCTAATCTCCTTTTCTCCGTCTTTTCTATCTTTGCTTTTTTGCTGGCTGTGGCCCTTGGAGCTTTTGGAGGACTTGCAGCACTTGCCACCCTGATCTTCAGGAGGCGTTAAAGGGGACGAGGATGTAGAGGTTGGAGGATGAGAAGGAGGCGGTGGTGGTGGTGGTGGCGGCGGCTGGGGAGAGCAGGGTGAAGAAGCAGGAAAGGAGAGATATCGTTCCTTCCTTCTGCTGACCAGCTTCCTTCTCAGATCCTCTACTCCTACCACAGGCTCATCCTTGAGCTCGCTGTCTACTTCCCAGCTGCCCTCTGTGCAAACGGACACAAAGCCATCCCCATCTAGCACTCGGAAGATTCGCTCTGGCTTTGACCCAAAGAAGGAGATGCTGGGAGAACTCAGGGGGAGGGTTTCCTCTACAGGTCTCTTACTGCTCCCATCTCTTTCAATGGCTCCAACTATCTCGCCCTCCTCTATCTCAGAGTGATCTGAATCAGCTTTCATGGTGCTACAGTCCACCCTCCTCCTCAGAGGGAGCTGAGTGCTCAGACAGGCGCTTGGAAGGTCAGTGAAGGTGTCCGTGGAATCTGGAGGTTCCTCCACCTTCTCCTTTTCTTCTCTTATAGTGTTTCTCTTCAGTACCCTTGCTTTGCCACTCTCATCATCAACATCTGACGCTGGGGAACCCGTGGGGTCAAAAGGATCGTATTTCTCCCCTTCCCCCACCTCCTTCATCTCAGTTCCTTCTTTTGCTCCATTATTTGGATTGAAAGGATTGTACATCACCCTTTTCCTCTCCTGTTTTTCACAGTCAGCACTTTGTTGCATTAAAATGTGTGGCAAACAGTCTGAGGAAGCGGTACTGCATGTAGGTTTGGAGAGAGACTGCGTAGCTAGAGAGGCAGAGCTGGAGGAAACCCTGGCTCTCTCTGTTCCATTGAATTGGCTTTTTACATGGCTGGGATAAACTGATGTGTTGGCACATATAGAGGAGGACGTAGACAATGGAGAAGATGGACCGGTTGAAGGAGATGATGCAGAAAACGAAGGTGAGTAGGAAGGAGGGCTCTTTGAGGTCTCTTCAACTCCACCTGGGGAAGAGAAGGCCCTAGGCCTCCTTCTGAAGCCTGATGCCAAAGTCAAGTCCATGAGCCAGAAATACTGGTGGGTCAGAAAGTGAGGGAAGTAATACTGAGACACCTAGGGCGTGGCAGGTCACACCAGAAAACAGGGCTCAGGAACCAACCTTGCAGGAAGAAAAGAACATGTGTCACTTTACGTTACAATATAATCCACGTGGAAAGGCTCCCTGGAGAGCCTACGATCCTGACACATGATGAATATCATGGAGGATACTCCGACTGTTTCTACAGTTGTGTTGTCAGAGTGAGGGCTTCAGTACAGAGAAACTAAGAAAAGACTGACTGAACAAATTTGAATGATATTATTGTTATTGTTACAAAGAGCTAAATATGCATCTGCCTGCTAACATGCTTCTGCAGTCGGGACTCGGTTTGGAGTCCAGTCATATGAAACAGAAGACCCGAGCCAGTCTGAGGGGTCCGCCGAGCCCCACTGCGCTCTCACCAGGGTGAGCTGAGAGACGGCTGAAGGCAGCCGGAGGAGGAGTGGACCCCACACCGGATCAACAGACACATTTTTCAGTTCACGCTCACTGAACACACTCATTAAAAACTGCGCAGCACATGACTGCGTCTCTGTTGTTTACACGGTGGATTACACGTTACCGTCGTTCTCCTTCTGTTGGGATGCTTACGTGATTTCTGAGTTGTAAAAGAGAACAATATGTTTAGCTTCCATATCAGGGACTCACTTCTCAGTGCTTGTCACAGATAGCATTATCATTAGCTTTCCGTGGCTGGACAGTGCGTTGGTTGCTTTACAAAACATCTGTCCGCCTTGCGTTTTGACCATTAGCTCCATTATGTGTAATGCGGATTTGTCAGCTGTCGCACACTCGATTGATTATCAGACGCTGAAAAATGTCTGGCGGCAGATTTTCAGTTACCCATGCAGCTAATTAGCTTAGCGCAGCTAGCAAGGAGAGCAGTATGTTGATGGGTTCCCTTCATGCCGGTCGCCTTCTGTCTCAGGCCAAAGCCACCGCTTCACATCTACTGGCTGTTACTTTGTCAGACATTCAATCAAACTACGAAATTAGACATATGCGGCTTTTTGTGGTGTTTAAATACGTACCAGGGTTTAAAACGGGTCTGTTCCACCAGTCACCGCCATCTTCCCTCCCGTGAAACCGGACGACAAAGAATGATGGGAAACGGAGTGAATATCAGGTGGTGCGAAAGAGCCGCACACATCATTTAACACACGTCATTAAAGTTGCCTTTGAGGTGCCGTGCTCGCGACACTGTTACACATTTGAACAGAACTACAAACTGGCTTTTTAAAAAGTGTCTCTTTGTAACAACTAATTCATTTGTGCTGTGACTGGTTTACAGACAGCTGTCTGAAGTCTGCTGCCTAAACCCGAACATGATTACTGTCATAGCTCACTTTTACTTACTGCTCCCCAGGTAAAAACACCTGCAACTAAAGAAAGGAGACCGTAGCTGTTCAGCACATCCAGGCTCAGCTGGCTTTGAACATCACCCGTCCACCCAGTGTCTGTCCCAGCTGCCACAGAGCCCGGACAGGCCATCCACCTGCTGCAGGGCTAACACTCATATGTACACTTGTGATGATGACCATGCATGTTTTTGGACTGCAATAGCACAGTGGCGTGAACAGAAAGAACCCACACAGACATAAGAACTTGCTGTCCAGTATGGCCACAGCAGTGCAGGGAGGTTTTTTCCCCTCATATCTTTAGAATATAATTTCACATGAAAAAACTTTTTTAAATACTAACCTTGCTGCCTTTTCTTAGGATTGTTTCTCCTTTTAGCTCTTCAGTAAAACACGCATTGCTGTGACATGACAAACAAACATGTTCGTATTAAACGCACAGGTCAGTTGTTGGGTTGGTGCAGGAACAAATGAGAGAAGTGTTGGGTTACCCACATCTCTTAATTTGTCAGCAGCGTGTATGCAGACCAGTGGTAAAACACCACGCGTGTGCATAACTGAAACACAACAGACTGCACTGTGGCTGAGACGGAGCCCATTGTTTCTGTGCAGAGTGTCTGAAGTGGACCAGCACACTCCTAACACCTGTGCAAAGCTACGCTCTGTAGGGTAAACTACAGAAACAGACTTCACACATCAAACAACCACACAAAGCCATTTAACACAAGCAACATGAACACTGCTGTCACAGATACACTATTTAACACATTTGTTGCCATTGTCTAACTTTATTTGTGTAAGGCAGGTATATACATTTCCAAAGATACACAACATGTAGATTCAAACAGTTTGTCCACATCCCATAGTTGACCTGTTTCTGAGTCCATCAGAGGCGCCGTACCGCTGAAAACAGAGTGCAAGCAAAGCGCAGGACAGATTTGGCTGCATACCAAAGACAGAGCAACAGTCTTTGTTTTAATAATCAAAATAAAATAAGCTCTAGAACCATTTCTTACATGAATAAAGCCTCCAACACATTCAGCAAAAGCACGACGGAAAGCTGTAACTGAAAGACAATAAATAGTCAGTGCTGAATGAGAAGTAACAGTCCAGTGACTTCAACAGCAGCTGTATTTTCTCTGTGATTGATGTATGATTCTGACCAATCAGCTTGGTCGCAGCATGTCCCACATCCTTCCCTGTTACAAAGGTTAAACTGGAACATTCCTGATTCCTTACATTTAAACTCTTTTCCTCTTGTAGTGTGCATGCAGGCACAGGTACAATCAAGCTGTGCCTCAGCTCCAGAATCACTGCTTGTATGAATGACTCGTGTTTACTACTGTAATAATGATGATGAAAGCATGTTGTCGAGGAGTTTAACAGTGGACAGTGTGGATATAAGAGGCAGACCCACAGATCGAGCTTCTTTATCCCATCATAAAAATGCGGGGGCTTTGATATTTACGTGGTAATCTTGATATGTGGTATGAACTTTGTCAGGGCAACACAAACAGACCCCAAACTGCTGGTGGTGATATTCTCTTTATGCAAGTAGGCCCAGCCTCCTTGTGCAATGAAAACTGCTGCTGGTTTCAAAGCAAAGAAGGTCATTGGCACGTAGGACTGTGTCCCTCTCATTGGAAACATCAGCTCTCTGCAGCAGGAGACAGGAGGCCCAACATAGTGACACTCCCCGGCTTCAGACGAGTCCAGAATCCTTGGCCATCTTGTGAAAGGCGCCTCTCTGACTGATGAGATTGGAGGGCGAGTCAAATTCTGCCATCTTTCCATTCTCCAACACCAAAACCCTGGAAGCACAGAGAACACTCAGGAAACTGTTTGCAGGCAGAAATGCTACAGCTGATGTTAGCCTTGAAGTGCAACACCACATTAGTTTATGCCTAAAGGCATCGTCCGTCACAGAATAACGACAGACTAATATGTTGCATCTCCAAATGTTCGATGTGACGCCGTGTTGTTGCACCTGGAGCAAATGCTCCTCACTACAATGACTGATTGGGAAGTGGTTACTTTATCGCACACGTCTAGTAAGGCGACACTGGGTTTGGAGCTGTGCAGTCTTAGGATGACATGAAACGATAGCGCCAAGTATGAAGCGAGGAGCAGTGACGAGAGTAGCTGAAGATGATGATCGTTTACAGCGAGGTGGTAGTGGTGTGGGTGGGGTTATGGAGAACCCCGAGTCAGGAAGAGGATCTTGTCTGCACCACAGTTAAAGAATATTTACTTTTTCCTCTTCATACTCAACAATAGACTATTTATGTTTAGCAAAGACGATGTGGCTTCCTGCTGGACATTTGAATGAACCAACGAGACGTCCGCTGAACACTGATACTCTCTGGTACAGAGCGGTGAAGCGTCAGTGAGGCGCTGTAGCACAGTGCTAAGATCACAATGACACTGCATGAGAAACAAAGGAAAGAGAAATGAAATGCCTCAAACAGAAGGAAAGAATCTGGAAAACAAAGCACAGAGCTAAAAACCGTCTCATCTTAGAGCTCAGTAGATGCAATGACAAACATGAGGACGGATTCCATTACAGGCAACAACAGGCGACACACACCTGAGTGAATCCCACCCCTGCACATAAACATCTGTTAGTCAGAGAGAACCAAACCAAGGAAGCCTATAGGCTGATACAGAGGGTCACATGACCCTGAATTCATTCCACATAAACTAGAATGGGTTTGGTGCCAACAGAAATGACAGCAAAAATATTTGACTTTAAGCACAGGGCAGTCATTTCAGCTTCAATCGCAGGATTGAGCCTCGTTTTTAAATCCTTCCAGCCAATAGAATCACAGTGACATCACTGCATTTACGTCAATCCCACCAATCACAAACTGCAGGGTGAGACATACACATGATGCAGGAGGAATGAGCCTCGCTGCCGTCCAATCAAATCTCTGTAGCCGGGCATAAAGTGGCTATTTTTGGATGGGAACCAGCTCTAATGCATTGTGGGAGATGGAGTTTTTCAGTGTAATCACAGTGGATGTAAGTTTACAAAGAAAGGCAGAAACGTGGTTTGAATCCATCACTGAGACTGGCTCTCTGCTTTGTTTCTGTCGGACACCATTGCATCATGGGATGTTTCTGCAGGTGTTAGCATATTTCAATGCTTTTTGTTTGTTGCATGGAGGTTATTAAAATTAACCTTATCAAACACAATCATAAATATAACTAAAAGTCAAAACCCTGTTACTAACCATTCTGACTGTTACTGTAGTAACCATGGAAACCAGAAACTGTCTATCCTTAAAGAGCTTTCAGTATGGCCTAACAACTGTAAGAGACTGAAATGGTCGCGCCAACAGAGAACAAACAGAACTGGGAGACACACAAATACAGGCATTAATACAGATATTCCACGTTTAGGGTGGGGGCCGTACCAGTGTCTCTTTGGTGTATAGTACCTGGTGTAGTCCATGATGGTGTTGAGGCGATGCGCTATGGTGAGGACAGTGCAGTCCTCAAACTGAGAGCGGATGGTGGACTGGATCAGGTTGTCTGTCTCCATGTCTACAGCTGCCGTGGCCTCATCCAGAACAAGGATCCTGGTCTTCCTCAGCAAAGCTCTGGCCAGGCACAGCAGCTGCCGCTGACCCACGCTGAAGGAAAAGCAGACCGTTTCAAAGGCAGGAAGCCCTGCTCCAGCGCTTTATCCAACGACTGGTATATGCACTGTTGCCCCATAACTAGTGTACTGCACAACTGCAAGAAATGCAGGTGTTGCTAATCGTACTTGACGAGTGTGCACACTAACGTGTTTTTCAAAGACGCTGTGAAACTGGGATACTTTGTATCTAATTCAGTTTCTAATTTGTGGTTGCTTGGATGTATAAAGCAGTTATACCTCAGGTTCTCTCCTCCTTCACTGCAGTCGTGGTTAAGCTTGTTGGGCAGGCTGGACACGAAGGTCTTAAGATGGGAGAATTCCAAAGCCCGCCATACTTCCTCGTCAGTGTAGGAGTCAAAAGGATCCAAGTTCATCCTCAAGGAGCCTGAAAACAGCACCGGGTCCTGTGGGAGAGAAGAGTGTCTTATGCTGGGATTTTTCCCCCATTTTGAGACGATTTTTCAGTCGTGCGACCGTTCTGGGGAACGGCCCGAGTTTCGCCTTCATCATGTGTCGTGCATCGTGTAGCATACGTGGGGTAACGAGGAGCGATTAAGACCTCACGACCAGCCCGGTCATCCATCGTTTGGTCGTAAGAAAATCAAACCTGTTTGAAATCCTGTCGCCCTTCGTGAGGGCGTCACCGCAGCCTCTCACACGGCGCACACGCAAACACAGACATGAAAGTGAAAAGGCGGGGCAGCACAGCAGTGCAGCGTGTGACACAAGCGATGGAGGCACAACTTTGGAGAGGCTCAGATGAGCCTCACAAAATTATCACGACCACAACAACCGTGAAAAGAGTTGGATGGACGTTGCTGTTCGATGGCAGCTGCCTGGCCAATGTTTTCATTAGCAATTTAGCAAAGCTGGTGTGTGTGTGTGTGTGTGTGTGTGTGTGTGTGTAAGACAGACAGGGACAGATTTTGTGTCATAACCTTCATGTTATGGATGCACAGTGTGAGCACTCAGGTCTCATCAGAGCATCGTGACCTACAAACTTCTAGCTCCTGCGATTCAATCGTGCAGCTCCCCGGCTGCTGTAATGCACAGGCTGCGGACTAATCAGTGTAACAGTTTTGATCCTCTCAGAACGTACCTGTGGTATGATGGTGATTCTGGAACGAAGCTCATGGAGGCCAAGCTTGGCAATGTCCACTCCATCAATGAATATTTGGCCCTCGGCTGCCTCGATGATGCGGAAGAGCCCCAGCGTTAGGGAAGACTTCCCTGCACCTGTGCGTCCCACGATCCCCACCTGATGGAACAGACAGCTCAGAACAGCCACAAGCACACGCACTGTCACTGGGCTGATGCCTTCACTGGAGTCATGTGAAATCCCACCTTCTCTCCTCCGTTAATGGAGATGGTAATGTTGCGGATGGCCAGATCCAAATCTTGGCGGTAGCGCAGGCCAAAGTTTCTCATCTCTATGCAGCCATTAGTAGGCCAGCCTGGGGAAAGGGTGGAGGGCTCGTGTTTCCACTCTGCCTGGGGGTCCAAACACACATGTTTAAAGAAGGCGATTTAGACACGCATGAGGCGAAAGCTTTCTCCAAACACCCCACATATGGCTGCCAGTAGATCTACACTGTCTTACTGCCTTTAAAGGCTTGTTTCTGTGTACCTCTTTCTCCGTGTCGCTGTATTCTTTCACTTTCTCCACAGCCACGATGTTGGTTTCCACATCAGAAGACATCCTAACCAGCCAGGTAAGTGAGGTAGTTAGCTGCACACGGGGCAAGACAAAACCAGATTAATGCACGCTCAGTCCTCTAGACAGGGGATCCCAAAAGGTTGGTTCTCTTCATCTGGACGTTTTCAGTGGGAGAAACCCATCATCATCATCATGGTCAGAGGGCCCGGTGGCGCCAGTGTCCGGCAGCCTCTCCTCTGTCAGTGCGCCCCAGGGTGGCTGTGGCTACAATGTAGCTTGCCATCACCAGTGTGTGAATGGGTGGATGACTGGATGTGTAAAGCGCTCTGGGGTCCTTAGGGACTAGTAAAGCGCTTTACAAATGCAGGCCATTTACCATTTTACCATCATCATCAGGTGACTCCTTCAGTCTGACTGCAGGTTTCCAATGATTTTCTGAATCGAGGAGGGGGCCCAAGGGTACATCTATCACTGTCTCACACTGCTGTGACTGCAAACTCATTACCCAATATGACAGTCTGCACATTAGTGACCTCACAGCCCATTGTTCGGTGGGCTGATGTTGGAAACCTGCAGTCAGCTGAGACTGAAGGTGTCACCTGATGATGAAAACGTCCCGATAAACAGGATCAGAGTTTTGGCAGATTAAGAACAAACATAACAAAGCACAAAACATTTTCCTTCTTCTAGGCAGAGGGCTGTTTGAATTTCCCCTCATAAATAATATAACTGACATGAAAGGACATCAAATACATAACAAAGTTCTCCTTTAAATAAAAAAAGTTGTTTTAAACTGAACTTAAAAGTGGGGTGCATTCCATTACTGACAAGACTGTTTCAGAATATTTACCATAGATTAAAACAAAGTATGGTAACCATAAACAGAGCTCGTAAAAAGCATTTCTGTATAAAACATAATGGGCTCATAAATGTACCCACTCAGTCACTTACTGTGAAAGTAACATCAGGACTGTGGGATACCGTTTCCATGAAACAGTGATGAATCTATTCTTAAAAACCCCAGAACAATACAATAGAATAAATGTTTTTCAGTGAACTTGTGTACTAAATCTGACTGCTAAACATCAATAAAATGGCTTAAACTAGGGAATAAACAGTTAAATTAGTAGGAAGGCTAAGCTCCTTGTAGCTACTTGGCACTCTTTTTCTTTAATGTATGAAATAAGTGCACAGGTTAAGGAGATTGTCCATGTTTACCTGGAGGGCGTAGGAGATGGACAGTCCCATGATGCCTGGGCTGAGGCTCTGTCTGGCAACGACAGCAAACAAAGCAGCAAATGACACAATGCAGTTTCCCACAAACTCCAGGCGAATCGCCAGCCACCTGCACAAACACAGATTCAGGAAAGTAGATTACTGTACAATATAAGGCGCACTTAAAATCCTTTCATTTTCTCAAAAATTGACAGCGCGCCTTATGTATGAATTCTGGTTGTGCTCAAGGAGCCTCGCGGAGTAATCTGGGTCCTAAACTCGTCCAGTTCAGGTCCCAAAGTCAAACGAACACTGCAGCATCACTGAGAGTTAAAAACTGACTAAATTCTTTCATCTTTAATAAAACGATCAGCGTTGCTGCTTTACCAGGTGTAACTATGAAGTTTAACTTCCAGGCATCCATGAAAACAAAAGTTATTACATTTAACAGAGTTAGAGGTTAGCAGGAAGTTAGCTCGCTAGCTTCTATCTAAACATGATATAGCATGTTCTGACTGAGAGATTTCAGAAACATTCAAACGTACAGCTCTGCTATCACTTCCAACATAAATGAAGACACGAAACTAAACAGCAGTGACGTTTGTAGGGTTACTAAAGTTGGGCTAGCTGCTATATAATGTTGTGCTACGTGATCACTAGTGACACAGCTATGTTAGCATAACATAAACAGAACGCTAACACTTTTCCCCTCGATAAAAGTTAACGTGAGGGTTCCTGATGGTTAGAGACAAATGCAATCGCATGGCAGGATGCTGTAAACGGACCAAACTTCAGTCAGGAGAACAACTGAGATAATCCATCCACAATACCAGGTTAGTCATTCATATACTGCAACAACATGGGAATAGAGCAGCTGCCAGAGAATTCAACATTAATGAATCGATGGGACAGAAGTGGAGGAAGCAAGAAGAATGAGTTAAGTTTGACTTATCTGACTGCTTTGTTTGCTTAATGTGCCTTATAATCCGGTGCACCTTTTGTATGAAAAATACAGTAGTTCCCTTGTGGAGCTTAATGACTTTTAACCAGTGTTGGGGAGTAACAGAATACATGTACCACCGTTACGTATTTAAAATACAAAATATGAGTAACTGTATTCGGTTAATCACACAGCAATAGTACATTCATGTAGTAAAAAGCATGATAATATATTAAGTAATCCAAAGTATTCAGAATATGTTACTCTCATTGAGTAACATAACGGAATATGTTAAAAAAAATCCATTTTGGGGCATGTAATCTGTAATCTGTAATCTGTAATGGAATACATACGTTCTCTGGTTTCCTGCTTCCGGTGTGATGGCGCCTGTGTTTGGCCTTGCCGCTGCTGGCTGCAGTTTCCCTCGCTCTGTTATGCTGCTGTTTCTGACTGTCCTGCTCTCCTTCTTTGTCTCTGATGTATTGCCTGCCCTAGTCTATGATCGTCTGACACTACTGTCTAATCTATGGTGGGCCTGGATATCACTCCTTCATACAATGGCTTCTTCCCTCCTCTGTTGCCGGTGTCTAGATTTTTGACAGATGTCGCCAACAGCACCCTTTTGGGTCCCTTATTTGCCCTATTAAAACTAGACTAGCCCCTGTTACAAAACCCTCGCCCTGGATAAACGACAGCATTCGCTGTTTAAAGCGTGTCTGTCGTAAAGCTGAGCGTTTGTGGAGAAAGACTCGTTTACAGGTTCATCTCGTTCATTTAAAAGACCTTTTAGTTTCTTTTAACGCTTCAGTTCATGATGCAAGGGCTGCTTATTTTTCAAACCTAGTCTCTAGGAGCAGAGGTAACCCTGAGGTTTTATTTGACACTATCAGGGATATTGTTGCTCCGGCTTCTGCTGCTGTCCCTATTTCTTCGAATGAAGACTGAAAATTTTCTTTCCTTCTTTGTTGAAAAGGTTAGCAATGTAAGGAGCAACATCTCTCCCTCCATGTACCATTTGCCTGTTCCGATTTTACTTAAGCCTGTCATATTTGAAAGATTTTCACCAGTGTCTTTACCCGAGTTGTTGACGCTGGTTACTTCAATTAGATCATCCTCTTGCCCCCTTGATATTTTATCTGGGTCTTTGTTTAAAAATGTTTTTGAGTCTATTGGTCCTAGTGTTCTTAAAATTATTAATGCATCTCTACTCTCTGGTCAGGGCCCTGGTTACTGTAAAAGTGCTGTCATTCACCCACTTTTAAAAAAACCTAAACTTGATCCTTCTGTGCTTTCCAGTTACAGACCCATCTCAAAATTGCCTTTTATTGCCAAGGTTTTAGAAAAGGTTGTGGCCAAGCAACTCAGTTGTTCTAGATGAACACAACATTCTTGATAAATTTCAATCTGGCTTTCGTAAGATTCACTCTACCGAAACTGCACTTCTTAGAGTGTCTAATGATGTTTTATAATAATGATGAATTATGATGCTGGAGAGTGCACTGTTTTGATGTTGCTGGATCTGACCTCTGCTTTTGACACTGTTGATCATCTTACTTTGTTAGATAGATCAAACCACTGGGTGGGTGTATCGGGTACCGCATTGGAATGGTTTAAATCCTATTTGTCAAATCGATCTTTCTTTGTGGCTACCTCTGTCAGCTCTCTTGCCTATGGGGTGCCTCAGGGCTCTGTCTTGGGACTGTTATTGTTTTTGTTGTATTTACTCCCTCTTCTGCAACTTCTTAGCTCTTACTCTGATATTTCATGTCATTGTTATGCAGATGATATTCAGCTATATATCTCTGATGTTTCTAAGCTCCAAATCCTGCAGTCCTGCTTAGATTCTGTTACAGATCTGCTGGCTGGTAATTACCTTCAACTAAATGCTGATAAAACGGAAGTCATTGTCTTTGCTCCTGAGAAGTTTGTTCCCCTCGTGGTTAAAAATCTAGGCCCTCTTGCTTCTTATATTAAACCCTCCATTAGGAACCTTGGTGTTACACTTGATCCAGCTCTGACGCTGGGCACACGTTACATCTTTGGTTCGCTCTTGTTTTTACCATTTAAGAAATATCGCTGAGTCCCATTGTGTCACGTTCCGAATTGGAAATGATTATTCGTGCTTTTGTTTCATCTCGCTTAGATTATTGTAATTCCTTGTTTACTTGCTTGAGTAACGCCTCCCTGGAACGACTGCAGGGTGTTCAGAATGCTGCTGCCAGGCTTCTGACAACGCATCACAAACACTCCCATGCCACTCCCCTGCTGATTCAGCTGCACTGGCTCCCTGTCAAGTTCAGGGTCAATTTTAAGATCATAATCATGACTTACAGGGCCCTGCACGGTGTAGCTCCAACTTACATCTGTGATCTTCTTCTTTCTCATCACCCCAGCAGGTCCCTGAGGTCTTGTGACCAGGGGTTGCTGGTTGTCCAGCATACAAGGTTAAAACCAAAAGGTGACAGAGCGTTTGTATCAGCGGCTCCCCGACTCTGGAACTCGCTCCCTTTGAGTTTGAGATCTGTGGACTCAGTCGTGTCTTTTAAAAAGCAGTTAAAAACGTATCTGTTTAAACTCGCTTTTGGTTGATGTTGTTTTGTTTGAGATTTTAATGTCTGTTTCCTGCCTCTGTGAAGCACTTTGTGATTTTATCTTGAAAGGTGCTATATCACACCTCCTCTATTCACCCTGCTCACTCCCCCCCACCCCCAACAACAGCATCCAATACACACTCAACACAAGGCTCCAGCCTGTCTCTCTCAACCAC